AATTGTTAATATAAACTACACTTATCACAAATACAAGAGAACATCCTTTAAGATTTTCGAAATCATAGACGAGAACAAGGATTTGGTAATCATTTCTCAGTATATTACAACTCCTGATTGATAATTCAAGACTTTTTGTTAGAAGAAATGTTAATATCAAAAATCCCAATCAACTTGATGTCAACCGAACTGATTATTAAAACAAAGCATACTCTAGCATGATAAAAGAGTTTGATATCAGATACAATATCGATTTACTACTTGAATGAAATCATAATGTTCTGCATCAACAAAGTTGATTACATCTCGATATTGGGCTAATTAATATCATTCTCATTTTATAAATTATCCTGATTAAAGAGGAAAAAGGAAAACAAAAAAGCAAAGTCTCAGTGATAAATGACATTTACAAGTAATATATATCAAAATAAGTAAGCAAGCTATAATCGCTAATTATATTCAATAATTTTATGATTGCTAAATAATTGAATGAAATAATTATTGGGAAATAAATGGAAATATCCTTAAAGAGAATATAAGCAAATTTGAATGATAATTGGAAGAAATTGCAAATTATGTAATTAACACTGATCAATATCACAAAAGATTATGAAATATCAGATTTGAATGGTAGGACGTAATTATGTTAAAATTTAAGTAATTCAAAATAAAGGATGCATTCAATAGTTATTGATAAGAAAATGAAAATTATTCGATAACAAAATAGTATATATATATATATATATATATATTTACTTCCTTCTGGTTAGTTTCATTTCAATAATATCTCGCTTGCGCTTGTGAAATCACCAAATAGAAAACGTCAATTTGAATAAAAGTTCGACAGTTCAAGCAGATTGCTTAATCAATACTTTATCTAATCAACAATCGATAAGCGATATTCTGCCCAGGTATTCACCTCAAGCTTCCGATAAATTTTGCCTGCTCGTAAATCAAAACTTACCAGTTATTTTCACATACAGTGAATTTGGATGTGAATTGAAGGAGAAATTTGCAAAAGTTTATTTTACGAAATGCACTGAACATAGCAAAATTTTAAGAGATTTGTAAAATGTCGGAATTTAGAAATGCTAAATTAAGAAAAGGTAATTATAAGGAATTTGATCAAGAGTACAACAATGTTTTTGTTGGATTTTGAAATGATTATTTTTAAATTCTAATTTATTATAGATTGTTAATATTTAAATTTTATGGTTACAATGATTCAATAAGATGTTATTATACCAAATTATAAATTCTATCAAACATGAATCGAAAAGTGAATAGAACATAACTGAGTGATAAAAGTAATAATAAGAGCAAGACAAATGAAATCATGACTGCCGTCTGTATCACCGTAAACATACTTACTTGACAAAAAAAAAGACTAGTCAATAAAATTCAATAGATTGAAAAAGCAAACATGAAATATGCTTAAAACTAGGGAAAGGATAGCCTGGATTACATTTTATCAATTGGATTATCATTAAGCCTATTTTAAGCTCTAGACGCTATCAAAATAGTTTCTACATATTTGTCAACTTGTGTCACGCCTTTCATACTTTTTCTTCATAGCTTTACTACAATAAAAAATTGTGTAGGAAAAGTTTCAAGTAGAAAGCAAAGTTTAACGATAATAAGCAAAATAATTGTAATATTATAATTTCGAAAGAAGGAACACTTATACGAGAAATTTTCATTCTGTGACAGAGACATGGATAATGCATTAGAAAAGAGAGTAAAGCAGTCCGGTTAGTATGTAATTCAAATAAATCACCAATATTTTAAATCCATTTCTTTTCTTAACTATGCTCCATTGTGATTAATTTACCAATTTTAAATTATACCAGAAAGTTTGGAAAGTGATAAACATGCTTTTCATCATGAATCAAAGTGCACAAGACAAGAAGTTTACCGCACTGACTATTTATTTCGATCTATCGAAAAATTCTTTTATCTATGTCCATGTTCAGGAGAGGTCATTAATATAGCCTGGGGATCTCTTTGAGTACTGTTTCATTTTCTAAACTGTAATTTATGTGCTAATTAATTCGAATGTATATATATGAATTAAATCTTGAACAGCATCCATTCTATCGATCCTATCGTGAATTTTCATTTACAACATTAATATCACAATCAGATTTCTCTGTCCTTTTCTTTTGTTATCCAATTTCAAAGTTTCTATACTCTCTGCAAAGATATGTAGATTACTATCTAGGGTAATTTTCTCTAAAAAAGAACATATACTATCAGTACAGATCCCGAAAAAACTGCACAGAAAATACCAATTATCACATCACTTCCCACAAAAATTCATACTGACGATAAAAGATGCCAAACTCCAACAATGTGAACGAAAATTTCAAAGAGGTAAGGAAAGAATGTATTTTATAATGATTAATCATTAGTCTGTTATTATCACAACGCTGAAAGAACCGAATTTTCGCGACAAAAACTTACTAAAACTACAGCTCGAAGACTGATGAAAAGTTAGAAAAAAAGCACTTGTGATCGAGTTTAGGGAGCTATTATTGAAGTAATACAACGGATTCACGAATGACAATTTTCCGGTGAAATAGAGCAATTTAGATTTTTGATTGATAAAATTTCGGGAACAAATTAAGCAGTGCAAGATGAAGCATTCCGGCAGTTAAACCCCAAATACGATATTCGTTTTGCGGTGCTACGTTTGTAGCAAGAATATAATGATGTGAAGTGAAGAAAACCGGTAACTTGTATTGTATATCACCTGTAATGCAACAAATGATATTACTTATGATATCAAATGTTAATACAATTTATTTCCATGATATTAACTTGGTAATTTACTTATAACAAACAAAATCGCAACTGATATCTTGCCCTTCCCTCTCTTACTAAGTATACCAAGTATATTAAGTTTTTAAGCTTAAAACATTTTAAGCTTACTTTAAGCTTACTAAATATGTTAACTTTTGGTTAGGCTAAAATTAGCTTAATCTAACTGAATCTTATTAAGGAATAAAGGTGATGCACTGAATACTTTAAAACTATTAGCTTCCTGAAGACAATCGATTCTGTAGAAAAAAAAAAAATCAATATCTTGCTTCATTTTGATTCACTTAATCTGACGACTTTTCAAGCAAATAATTTTCAATCAACCTCTTCTGAAATGTGTGTAGCGATGACTGGTGCAAAGCTCTTCAATTGGAGCAGCGAAGACAGTTTGAACTTCGTCACGTTTTGCTCTAATTGTACTAAAATCGGTAGTTTCTTGTACCAAACCAACAACTGGTGTTACAGTACTCATAAAGCGTGTTGTTACATGTTTTAAACGACCCCAAACTTCAATTTGACAGGAATATAAGCCAATCTCTTCAGCAGTTTCACGTAATGCTGCCTGAAAATATCCCCATTTTAATGGGGCTATCACAATGTTTACAAACTCATGCACCTACAATTACGATATATCAGTATTTTGTGATGACCAACTAATAGCAATGATTGATGAGTATAATATAGGATGGTACTCGACCAGTTTGCAGTAAAAATAGTGGGTGAATAACGTTTAGCAAACGTACCTCTTCATGAGTTTCGCCTTGCTCCAAGCGTCCACCTGGAAAGCTTACCTCACCCCGATGGCCAGCTAATAGCAATGATCGATGGGTGAATATTACTGACGGTGATCTATCAATATACACTAATGGTATCAACACGGCACTATTCCTTTCTTTACTAGACAATGGATGAACAGGATAACGTGGTTGGATAGGATCAATCAACTGTTGCTTGAGACGTTCACAAAAACGTTCACGTAATTGTTCGTCAAGTACGATCCGATACACTGTTGGTGATGACCACCGTTTTGATATTTCATACATTTTCCTCAGGTATAAAATGTTTGCAGATTTTATTGGTTGTTGTAGAAAGGAGAAAAATTCCCAGATATCTTTTCGAGCAACATCACAAATCCTTCATTTACATAGATCCTCCACAAAACTAAAAATAATTTGGACAAAAAGATATTGTGTACGGTAATATTGACCACTTATTATAAGAAGTGTCAAATTAGCCCGATAAACTGGGATGTTGATAAGAATAAAAAATGACCACCAACAATTGGTCGATCGGTACCATTGATCATTGAAGACTTAATTACATTATTTGCAAATATGATATATCCATGATCACATATTTGTAGGAGGCGAATCGACAAAATAAAATATACCACTCGCAACCTCCAATCAAACTGTATGTTACTAAACTACCCAACTTCATCCTTCGCACCCATTGCGAATTCATGGGAGCTCGACAACAATCCTTCCCAACCTCTGAACATATCACAAAAATTTGATTTTTCAAAAATTCATTACTTCCCTCTCCGAATTCTAATAAATGCTATCGAACGTTTTTCATAGGAAGACAGAACCATCAGCCAACCTACGACTGTCTTTTGGATATTTACACGAAATTAGAGCTAGAAGAGTTGAAATGTATTTCATAGGAAGTAATCTGTGGTACTTATTTTCCAGGCAAATGATGCAATGGTACTTTAGCAAACTAGGCTTTATTGATATCAAAATATGGCAACATCAGCTATTTATGAAACAAGTGAAACAGAGGGACATGAAACAAGAGGAACTGCAAAAAAAAGAAAAAAGATGAAGCGCAAGTTCATTTCATGCTGAAGATGCCACTCAAGATCTTTCCTTTCCGGAAATTCTGATCTCTGTTCACTGTTATAAGAACTTCAACTTCGCTATACGTTGTCAATAAAACAGAAAAAGGGAAGTAAAAATGAGAATGCACAGGGAATATGTGGAAAGCAGGCACAACATAGAAAGCCAAATCTTAAAGCGACTAAAAGCTATCAACAAAATTTACTTTGAAAAAAAGAAAAAAAACAGAATTGTTAGAATCGAAAATCCATCAAAAATATTCACAGATAAGTACAGTTGCTGCTTCGAAGCGAACACCAAAAGCGAAAAAGCACAGGGAAAACTATAACCTATTTATACTTCATTTACTACATCGATCTCAGTCTTTTCCGTCTTGAGCGGCAACTTTACATATCATAACTTAAAACATTCGATTCCAATGGGATCTTCCAACTTCATTACAACTTTTGAACCCATCATGGACAGTGATCTGAGATCATGGCGACAAAAAAGTAAGAGAAAATTTATAGTCTATAAAACAACAACTGTAACCGTATTCCATACTTTTTTTTGTTGAAGGAATAAAAGATGAAAATAATATGTTGTATTAAAAGGGTAATTACAGTAAATGTTTCAAGTAGGCGGTACACCGGTGAACGAAACTTCACTATAAAATGACGGAGAATTCCTCGAAAAGAAGGTTAAAGCAAGCATGAAGCATAAAACTGCAGCCAGCAAACTGAAAACAAACATCGTAAGCTTGATAAAATGATCATTAAAGCCAAAAGTTTCTTGATCCCATCGTTTTCCTATTGCGCCTTCGACTCAGTAAAAGTATCGTTGAGAATCAACAGAGGAGAGTAAATGAAACGCAAAACATAGAAAACTGTTGTGAGCATTCGTGGCAGAGGATAAACACAAACGGTCAAAACAATGGCAATCTAGTACTTAACAAATTAAAATCAATACATGTCTAGCCAACAATTAATATGCAACCGTTATCAACATTAAAAATACCACTGTCGGGAAATCCGAAATATCTTACCCTATTTATTGGTAATTTATATTGATTTGCAACATTCAAATTTTCCCTCCTTTCTTATCTCTATGAGTCGTCTATGCACGTAATAGACAAGGATAGTCATTATCCGCGTGCTTCATCTATTACCGTACCGTCTGGGGATTTTGCTGCAAGCCCCTCTTCCTGCTTGTTGTATATCCTTCCCGGACATTACAACTCCGTTATCTGCCTGCTATGTATAAAGCCTCATATCTCCAGTGATTAGGATTACCATCTGCACTATTTCCCCACTCACTGCAATCAGCTCATAGCTTCTTACAGTCCATCGTTTCAGTAACCTACGCTTATTATGTTACCATATTTCACTATAATATTTGATTTCATATCAACTGTTACAATTATTTCGTCGTCTAATAAACTGTTCAACTGATTCTACGGTTCATGGCTGCAAACCAAAAATTCCAATTTCCTCCACAGTTCGTCGAGAGAAGTCTTTATTTTCTAGTAATAATTTCCAATTCAATTTGTTGTGTGCCCTCTTACCACAAACCTTTCAAAACACGGATATTAGTTAGGATGTGTGTTTTTGCTAAGCTTCCAGTACCAGCTAATAAAAAGAAAAATTACAATTCAAAGAAGCTCATTCAAAGAACAGTCTATCAGTAAATAGTGTAACTGACAATCATCCTACCCATCAAACTAATTATCTGTTTTATTATTCCATTCGTTCGGGAGAGGATTTTACTTTCATTCTGCTTCTTGTTAGGAGAGGATCAAAACGAGCAACAAATCAGAAATACTCGCCCAGTATTCGCTGTCGACAAAGCTGACAACGAAACATGAACAATCAGGAAGACATGAAGGAATGCCAGATAACAATTTGTAGCGAATATTCTAATACGCCAGTTATTCCTCATAATCCACTGTAATAGATCGGAACTGTTAGGAAAAGGGGAAAGAGCGGATAGGATATCACCTCATAATACTGAAGTTATTACATTGACGTTGTCGTGTTAAGAAGCTTTTCTCATCGGAATGTTCCTTATTTGAAGAATTTTGTTGCTGGAGTTGCATCATCTGAAAACCAATCCTTAAAAATGCTATGAAATGAAAGGATAGAAAGAATGATATAAGTCGAAGTAGATAGAGAAATAACACGAAGAATAACAACGAAATTCCCTAGTTTAAGCAACTTTTTGAACGGTCGTTCCGATTAATCCCTCGTCCAAAATATTTCGAGGATTTTTTTTAGTGCAGTTTGAAATCACCATTAGTATAAAATGGTTTTTTCAACCAATATGTTTTTAATATGTTTCATTCGGCGAAATTTAGAACTATCTGATAGCTGATAAAGTTCAAGTCTAGTTAATTCGAACTAAAAAGGGCACAATGTCGATGATTCATCACAACGACTACATATTGATGTTAAATCTTATAAAAACTGGAGAGGAAATCAGTGCTTGAAATCGAAGACACGGTATACCATGTAGTAAACATGAGTTGTAAACAATCGCTGCTCCTCTTCCTGCATCGTACGGCTACGTTCATAGCTTTCTTTCAGTGCTTCAATCTGCAAAATTATATTCAAGAACTTCATTAGGAAGGATTTTTGATACTTCTCTTCGCCTTAAAGTAGTGCTTAATGGTATTTTATTCGCAATGGTTAGGAATAAGAAATGAGTAAAGGGAAAGTGATTATGATGTTTAATAGTTTAACATTCCGTTTAGCTCGTTCATCGACCTTTTTCTGCCATTTTCACAATACGTGCAAACTTAAGTTTATTCTATTTTCCCTACAAATGTATTGATTCTTTAAAGTGGAAAGAATTACACTTTGCTTGTATGTGTCCCTTTCACGACGAATTGAATCAAACTCATGTCTGCTCAGTGCACCACCTTCAACAGCCCGACTTTGCTCTTCCAGATCTTCAATCATGCGACGTGCTTTTTCCATATAATGCATCAACCTGTCCTTCTCATTCTTCACTTGTTGCTTTGACGATGTTAATTCGTCTAAAGCCAACAAATAAAATACGCACAGTTTAGTGTATAAAATTTAAGATTCAAACTCGCCTCATGCTTTCTCTAAAAAAACTAAAACGGATGGCGAAATAAAAACGGATGTTATCCCATAAATTTTAGTTTAAATATAAATCTACAATTCTCAACAATGTTCTTCATGTTTCCTAACAAAAAAAAAAAAAAAGAAATAGAGCCCAGACCATTTAATGTCTTCTTATCAGCAACCTGCTGTTCCAGATCATGCGTTGCTTGTTCGAGTCTCGCTTCAAGCTGTGCTAGTTGGATAGCCATCCGTTCCTTTGCTGTTTGTTCTTCTGTCAATCGATCACTGTTCACAAAGTTGCCGGACTCAATTATAGAATTCAGTTCTTTCAATCTTGAAAATAAATACACGGTGCTGAGAAATTGGTGCACTCGATCCTATTAAGCAAATAAATAAAGAAAATGAAAATCACCGACAAGCAATGATTATCATTTCCAGCTGAAATACATTGATTCGTGGATCATCAAACTTTTGTTCTTAAAATTTGTCCTTGCATTTTTTGCGTAAAACGATTTTTGGTGTAAAACACAAGGTATCACAAAAGTCCCAGTCGAAAAGAAGGGAAAATATTTCAGGGAGAAATTCGAGGCAATAGTAATAAATGTTGACCGTTTTTCCAAGTCATCCGCTTTATTTTGCGCCAATTTGAGTTCTGTTTCTAAATTTCTCTTCTGAACAATCAACGAACTAAGTTCTTCCTTCAAACACAACTTCTCGCCATCCGTTATATTTCCAGCTAGTAAACTTTCCTTTTCCGTTTCCAACCGAATGATTCGTTCTCTGGAAGGAAATTCTATTTTTGTGGAAGCGTAAGAGAAAGAGTAAAGAAACTTGATAAATCTTTCCGGAATATGTGAAGCTAAACATAACTTTTCATTGCTGTATATACCTACACATTTAGTGTTATTTCAGTTAAACATTAATGAGAATCAAAGGGTAGTTGTCAGAATTCTTTACTGAAATTAACCTCAAAAGTGCGGTCAAACTTGCATCAATTGTTTCATCGTGTAGTGACAGAGTGTTGCTACCATTTTCTGCAAATATTTTATGAAACAATGCTGAAACTGAATGACACTTTCAGATGAAAAGAAAGCTTCGCTATGCAAACACTTATTCCATTCACCATGCAAAAGAAGTTGTTCATTGAGTTCACGTCGTTCCTGCCGAAGATGTTCTTTTTCCTTTTCAATCTCATCAATCCGTTCATTCAACTGCTTGAATTCGAATTCAGCCTGAAAGGATGAGGTAGCCAGGTTGAATTTTTAATAATGATGAAGAGCAAGGTTACCATAGCTAACAAAAAGTCTCTTATCATATGCGAACTAGTTACCGCTTCATGTTAAGACTAGTATGAAAAATTATTTGGTCACAGTAATTAACTTGAACCTTATCAGCTCGTCTAATTTCGTCGTTCAATCTTGCTTCCAATTCCGAATTCTCTAATCGCAATGATTCAATCTGAGTCTTCAGTACACCATTCTTACGTTGCTCATCCTCAAGCGCAATGACGCTTTTCATGTATGTAGTCACTTTATCTTCCAGTACCTTCACTTCAATCTTTTGTGCCTTCCACTCTTCTAGAACAGAAATCAATTGCTAACGGATTTCCTTTATTCTTCATTCTTATCAGAAACTTTGCTGTTTCTCTTTGATAATCAAGGTATATTTGTTGCATACATCAACACGTACATATATATATATATATATATATACATATATATATATACATATGCATATATATATATATATACAGATGTATATATACATATATATATACATATATAATTCCCTTCGTAAATTTATCATAATATAAATAATAATAACGGTTAAATCACGAAACAAATAATAATAGAGATTACACAAGTTGAAATATAGCGTGTAAAATTCTCGAAAGCTTTAGATGAGATTTCCACATAACCTTAGTGTCAGAAAATTAAAATATCAGAAAAACCAAACCATCGAAAGAAATAAACTAAACAGATAAATCATAAATAACACGAAATTCATTTGGCAGAAACGATGCCCCTAATATTTCCTGCATAACATTCACTCCAATTAGTTATACGTTCAATTTTTCAAGAAAAAAAAGTGGAAATTTACTTAGTTTAGCTTTGTAATTGCTAATCTGCGCGTCAAGCTTCTCATACTTTTGCACAAGAAGTCGATGTTCCTCGAGTTCATCTTTCAATCGCTTGAATTCCGCCTCCATTGGCACCAAATCTTGCACCTAAAAAAAAAAATCTCAGTTTAAATAACACAAAAAGTTGACAAAACCCGAAGTATTTAAAGCTCATCAACAAATGGTGTAATCGACTAAAACGAACCTTTGTCCGCCATTCCGCATTTTCATCGAGCAACTGCAGATTTACTTTTTTAAGATGGTCCCGTTCAGCTTCGACCCTGTAAATGCAACGAATATTTTTCTTTTAAAGTTATAAAATTGTTTACGGTTAAAGTTAAAATACCATCAGCTAATAACTTATGCATCTTAAAATCGTAAAATAAAAACCATCACTTATAAAGTGCATCCTGAGTGCTTTCACGAACGGAACGCAGTGAACGAATCTGTTTCCGTAACGATTCTATTTCAACATTTCCTTCGCTTAATTCATCAACGCGTAGACGCAAACTCTCATTGTCACTAGACAGTGCCTCCCTTTCGGTACATGCTTCTTTCAGCTAAATTAATCTTTTTGAGTAATATTTGATAGTATTTTGTTTTTTTCAAGTTGAAAATATTCAAATACCAGGGTTTCCATCCAAGTATCGAACAGAACATTTTATGCTATAGCTGAAGCCATAATCTGATTCATGGAAAAACACTATAAATAAACAGGCAAACACATTATATATATATACATAATCTGTAAACATGTATTTCCCTATTCCTCCAATTAAATACACCATATATAAGTAGAACCTTTTCGTTAAGTTGAGTGCATTCCTGTTTCAAGCTTTCCACTTTAATCTTCAAATCTACCACTTGTTCCTTCGATTCCATCGGTTGGATGCTCTAAAAGCATGAGTTTAAGAAAATTATTTTCTTTAAAGCAATCCCCGCTGTCTATTCTAACGACGATTAAAAATTTACGGATATGTCAGCTACTTTGGCTTTTTCTTCTGATGGTTCTGGTACTAGTTCTTTGATTTCTCTCATAATATTCACCGCTGTCCTCTGCACAGACTCACTCTGATCCAGTAAAAGACGTATAAACTCTGAAATAAAATTATGAATTCGAACAATCGGTAGCTGGAAAGGACCAAACTAATTAACTAATGAAATTCTCTAAAAGCCCTCCTCCCTTTTTGCCTTGGTATTCACTCCGTTATGCAAAGCATTACTTTCATTGTTTGTACAAAGAAGAGCAGCTCCTAGGACAAGCTGCAGCAATCGACACAACAGTTCCGAGTCACCGCATTCTGCTGTAACATACTGATTTTAATATTTATAAATAACTGCAGTGCTTCTAACTGTTTCATTCTGTATTTTCGCAGCCTACTTCTTTCCAAAAAGAAGAACGTCAATCTTGACTTTGGAATATCAAAAGCATGCTACAAGGTTATTAAATGCCACTGAAACTTCAGTGACAGAAAAAAGTGCGCTCTCGAATTACTGTCAGTACTAGTACGACCAAAGAACTAATTAGCATTTTCTACGTCAAAAAACAACCTATAAGATCGCCTGACCTTACCTATCCGTGTTGTGTCAATATGCCATTTTGGTGTCAATTCTGCTCCTAACTGATCTGTGTAGTATTCCGAAAGTCGACGATAAACCTTACGTAAATTGTTTGCTTTTAATCTCCAGTTAGTCATCTGGTCGTAATATGGTATTTTGCCTAGCCAATTATCGTTAAAAAATAACGAATCGCTGTAAAAAAATGACAGAATTATTGCGAAAATTTCCTTCGAAAATAATGTTATGTTGTGTCTTAAAAAATTTCAAATACAGCCCACAACTGTCAAAAAAAAATCTAGTGAGGAAACGGGTTGATCAATCACAATTGATAAGACCAACTTCCTGCTCCCTTACAAATCTATTTTTCACTGATAGTGATCTCGCGCGTCTCAATGATAAGTCTTACTAGCCTAATAGAAAATTTTTTTGTTGTTGAACATTTCTTAGAGAGTTCATATTGTATGGACGAGATCAGATAAACACATATAACCCACAGTACACGAAGAAAAGTTGACCAACCACTTGCCAGGTTTATATTAAAGATGTTGTTTACCTTTAAGATATTTCGAAAACCGTTACTACTTTTTGTGAACTAGCAAGAAATTTGGAATTTAATTCTGCAAAAGAAGAGTGGAAAAGATACAATCAATTTATTCAAATTTTAACTAAAAATTCAAGAAATGTTCAGGATTTGACGAGAAAAGGACGAACATTTTGTATAAAACTTCCGCGATAGTTCGACCCGAAAAAACATCGACCAACGTCACTTCCCCTGCATCATTCAATGAATTGATCTGAAAAAAGTTAAAGTTTGAACTAAACGATTCGGCAAATACTTTATTCTGGATGATCGAATTAAACGATGACATTCATTTTTCGGTCCAAAAAAAACAACTTTAGCATATGTTTCGCATTTTATAATCGCAATTTGCTATCAGCAATGGAAAACCAAACTATCCAGTAGTAAGATAGAAAATTCCTGCTCAGAATAACTTCGAAAGTACTGCATATAAAATGTACAGGGAATTTTACGAAACTTTAGCGCTGTGTTTAGTTCTCATTTTTTGAATGACAAAAATAAGTCAGTAATTTTTTACTCGAAGAAATCCTCTAATTCCAATCCGTCTCATGTGGTGGCATTATTTTTCAAAAGTTTCTGAAAGCATTAAACAAATGCTGGGTTGTTATTCAATACAACAGAATGTTCTTTTACCGTTAATATTTCTATTCACTTTCCAATTGAGCACTGTTCATATCAAAATTCCCATAAATGCACTTTGATTTTTTTGGTTAGTTTTTAAGCATAATCAAATTCTAGTAAGAAAAAAATAGGTAACATACCCATGTAATGAGATCATCCAAATATGTACTCATTTTCTTTATCTCTACCAAAAATACGGTATCTGGAAATTGAACAACAAACGATTTCACTGTAATGATCAGGAAAATGATCTTTGATCCATCATTTTCAAATCACTATATAGAATATCATTTCCAGTTATGGTTCTACGTTTTAGCATCTAAAAACGACACAACACAACACACACACACAAACGCACGTAAAGTACAAGAAGAGAAAAAACAAAATCCATGGCTAACTAACCTTTCACAATCGCAATTACAAAAAACATATCGATCTCTAACTCCCGCCAAATTACTTTCTCTCTTTTGCACTTAAACTCTTCAATTCCCTTTCAACTACTATTTCTATTGCACAACCACAGTCCCTATATCATCTTCTCAATCCCCATTACTGCACTGCATCAAAATTGCATGGCTGTGCTGGTACGAAAGATTTCATTTCACGCGGGTTCACTATGAAACGATTCTATCTCACGGCAGAATAAGCGTGACTTAGGATTGCATATTTGTACATTTTTCAGACGCAGTTAGTTAGTAAACTGAGCATTAAATTAAGGAATTTTTCTTTAAGTTAGAGCAAAACTTTAAATAAAATACTAAAATAGCAATGCTATTGTTCATAAGTTCTTTAGTAAGACCCTAAAACAAAAATATTTTTAAAAAAAAAATCAAATTGTAACCATAACAAAAACCAAAATAAAAATAACCTTTTTTTTGAAAGGCGAAAGTTTTCGAATTACTAATAGAAGTAAATTATTTTCGAGTAAAATTAAATCATAAAAATGCAATGTTAAAATCTTTCAAAAACTGAGTAAATTTTTAGCGGACGACAATTTGATCATTGATTTTAAACAGTTCAAGAATACCGTTAATTTTAATTAATTAGGAAATTCCACAAACTTTTCAATGATTAATTTTGCTTCATATCATTTTTTGCAAAATTTTTCAAAATTCTTGTGCTTGTTTACTCTTCTCGCTATGAAAACAAGCAATTTAAAATTCAGTTTTCTTATCAATCTATGGATTTCTTTTCTTTTTTTTAGACTGTTAATAACATCAAGTGGTATTAGCAAAAAATAGAACTAATCAATATTAACCAAAAGTTGATTAACTTAATTACTTCGAATTCATTACATTCTAGAGTTTAATTTTATCAAATCGTTATCAGATATGTGATTGATACGCACATACATAATATTTTAATAATAATAATTAAATCATTTAAAATTCTCACTCAATTTTTATTTTTTATTTTTGCAGAAAAAGCAAAATCATTCAATTTTGAGAAGAGTATAAAAGAAGAGAGTAACAGATTGGAAAGGAAACTGCCAAAAGAATGGAAATGAAACGAACAAATGTCATTTAACGATGGAGGAATGTAAGGGTGATAGATGATAGGTAGTAGACAGATCAGAATGTTTGGGATATTCAGAGTGTAAATACGGAAGACGATACTTCACTTTTCTATCACAAGCAGAATAAGTTGGACTAATTCTCTATCATAGACGGAATAAGTTGGATTAATTCCTTATCATAGACGGAATAAGTTGGACTAATTTTGCTACTTGTAATTATATTTCCAGGAATTTTGCAAAAGTAATACTGAAACAAATAATGATATCAAAATTAAGGAATATCAATAATGGGTATGTTTTTTTCTCCTTTTCTTTTTTCGTTCTCATTTATTTTGCATTTATGTTATTTGTGATTCTTTTTTTCTTTCATTCATTCATTCATATATTGAATAAATGATAAGGTGATAATATATTGATTGATGAATGTTAACATCTCGAAACAATTAAAACATAAATGATAAGATAATAATATATTGATTGATGGATATGAACATCTTAAAACATATTATGTTATTTATTTACGAATAAAATGAAAATTTTTTTAATCAACCTTTGATTTTTATCAAATTTTCTTTTCTTTTGAAATAAATATCACTGATTTTGCATTATTTCAGTGATATTCCAGCGGTAATTTCAACTCAATTGGAACATTTATGCGGTCTGAATATATTCCAAAAACAAATATTACATCGAAAGACTTCCATCATTTGCACGATTGGTTTGCCTATTATAATTAACTAATTGAGTTTCAAAAGAAAAAATAAAATTTAGTGGAAAACATTTTGATTTATGAGTTTTTATTAATCTTTTTCAGGTCCAGCATGTGATACAATGGAAAAATTACAAGAAATGATTGGTAAAGGAATGAATATTGCTCGTCTTAATTTCAGTCATGGCAGTCATGAGGTTTTAATAATAATATATCCTTTTTATTTATTTAATTGTTTTTTATTCTACAACTTTAATACTTGCCGTTTAAAGGATTTATTTTTTATGACCAATATTGATTGATTGATGGATCCAACAGCTTGTTTTTCTTTTTTTAAAAAAAAAGATTTTTTTTTAAAAAATAGCAAAAACCTTTTCTTGCGCATTTATCACGATTAATTATACCAATCTCTCAACAGTTGTATATATCAAATTTTACAATGGATGATGAGCTGGAATTTAAAACGTACAGATTCGAGACAATGAAACATTAAAAATATCCAGTGAACTATTAAGTCGACAAATGATTACTTTGTTTTTAATTACGAATGCTAAAGCTTGATTCGAGTTAATTTGTGATCTGAAAAATGATCTTAGAAAATGACAACTTTCTGGTCTGCTTTACACCTAATTGGAGCTTGAAATTTTGTCTCCCAAATAATTATAGATTTGAGAAGATGGAATAAAATTAATGAATGAAATAAAATCAGGTTATATAACTTTCCTTTGTGACCTAAATTGAAGGTTCAGAAAATTGTACAAATACAGTAAATTTTATGATAAACTAAATTAGTAGCCTTTTCAACATTTTAGTTTCATGCGCAAACGATTCGAAATATTAGAGAAGCATTAAAAAGCAAAGGTAATATGATGGATGTTGCAATCGCTTTAGATACAAAAGGGCCAGAAATTAGAACCGGAATTATCGAAACGGTAAGTTTGAAATATCGCAACATAATTTTTGTTTTAATACAGAAAATTGCGACACAAATTTCTTCTCAATTATCTATTCTATACTAACCAAGATGCAAGCATAGACATTCTCAGGTTTGAGGCTTAATATTCATTGGGAAATATATTTTATTATGAAATTTGGGAAAATAGTAAAAGATATGAAAAATTCACAGCAATAATAATGATAATAATTAATAATAATAATAATAATAATAATAATAATAATAATAATAATAATAATAATAATAATAATAATAATAATAATAATAATAATAATAATAATAATAATAATAATAATAATAATAATAATAATAATAATAATAATAATAATAATAATAATAATAATAATAATAATAATAATATA